ATAGAATATAGAACAGAATAGAATAGAGAAAAAAAGAACAGAATAGAAAATAGGAATAGAAAATAGAATAGAAAATCAACTCAAGAATGGAATAGGAATGGGAATGGAATAGAATGGAATATAGAACAGAATGGAAAATAGAATAGAATAGAGAAAAGAAAAGAATAGAAAATAGAATAGAAAACAGAATTGGATCGAACTGAGAATGGAACAGAAATAGAATAGAATTCTTTATTGACTGAGTGTGATTGGAAACCCAAGGAATCTGTCTCTGGTGCATAAGTTCACAGTGTACATATAAACAGCAGTAATAGGTCATAAATCATAGTTACAACCATTAATCAGAAGTTACAAACAACAATTGATCAGTCATAAGAAACAAACAGGAGAAGATAGCAAGAAAGATGAGAAAAGATGAGAAATGAGTCAGTGCTATGGGAATTAAGGGTTCAGCAGGCTGATGGCATGGGGGATAAACTATCTTGATGTTTGGTTATTTTGGCATGCAGTGTTTTTATCGTGCCATCCTGAGGGGAGAAGCTGAAACAGTTCATGTCCAGGATGTCAGTGGTCTGTAGGTATTTTCTCGGCTATCTTTCTGGTTCATGCAGTATACAGGTCCACAATGGAAGGCAGACTGGTTGCAATTGTTTTTTCTGCAGTTCTAACTATTCCTTAAAGTCTGTACCTGTCCTGTTTGGTTGCTGCACCAAACCAGACAGTTATTGAGGCACAAATGACAGACTCAACAACTCCTCTATAGAACTGTATCAGCAATGAATATGTAAATTAATTTCTGCAAACTTAGCTTCTTTTGTCCTTCTGACACTGGCTAAAAACGCTGGCCCCCAACCCCTGGTTACAGATACATGAAGGATGCTTTAGAAAGGCAACATACCTTGAGGTCTTCGTAGGTATCTGCTGAGAGCTTGGTGCTGTTCATGTTTAAACTACAGAGGCTTTTCATGGCTAGGAAATAAACACAGAAGGATGTTGGTCTGTATGCAGATTGCAAAGGATGGCATTAAAAATGGGAAATGGTTGAGGACTGGCAGTTGACATCCTGCAGTCCAAATCAACATCTGGACTTTAAAGAGCACTTAACCCCTTCATTTTGGATCAACTTGTCCCCGAAATTAATTTCAGAAAGCTGATCCAACATTTTATGTTTTCCTTGATTAAAGGATTAAGGGACCGGAGACAAAAACATATGAAGAACGTTTGGAGAAATTGGATATGGCCAGTAGAGAGAAAAGGACTTTTGGGTGACATGATAGCAGTATTTCAGTATTTTGAGGGGCAGCCACAAAGGAGAAAGGGCTCAACCTATTCTCCAAAGGACCTCAAGGCAGGACAAGAAACAATGGATGGAAACTAATCAAGGAGAAAGGCAACCTGGGTTAAGGAGAAACTTCCTAACAGTGAGGACAATTAACCAGTGAAACAGAAGTTGCCTCCAGAAGTTGTAGGGGCTTCATCACTGGAGGTTTTTAAGAAGAGATTGGATAGCCATTTGTCCAATCTTCTCCAAGGTCTTCTTGCTTGAGCAGGGGATTGGATTAGTAGACCTCCAAGGTCCCTTCTATTCTGATTTGATGAGGTGCTAACAAGTTGGAATGGACTCTTTGCAAACAACTACAAAGATTTTGGAACTGGTAAAAATCATCCTCTTCCATAGTGCATTTGGTGAGAAAAAAAAATTAACTGGGACAGCAATGCACATAATTGATTTTTGGTTCTGGTGTTGGATGGTAATTTCATGGATATTTTAAAGTTTGTATATCACAGGCTGTCAAACCTTAAGTATTGATTGAGCAACGTTTTCTCCACAAACACATAATATAGAATCTTGACATTTTTTAAGAAAATGACTGTGGAGATGCCAAAATCAGCTGCTCCTTGATAGGAAAATCCCTTACTTTGTTGAGTTTGTAAAACAGGAAAAGTAGTAACATGTGCTTTACAAACCATAGTAAGTTAGATTCATCCAATGCACTTGGCCACAAACAAGCAATATTATTGCTTTAAAAACTATCACATTGAAGAATTACAAGAAATCAAATTCACAGGCATTGAATTACTCCAAAATTGTGGTGAGAAAACTGCAGGGAATAGTTCAGAGAGTCACCAGCAGTCAACACTGATTCAGAGACACAAACACACACACACACAAATCCCCAAAAGCCAACAACTCCCATTTCAGTAATGTAAATAGACTTCACTGCAGCTGTACAAAGGATTAAACAACCAAACTATTGTTCATTTAATATCTGTCCATGTGTTCGAGCTTTAATATGTGTAATGTATGGGGAAAATGTTTTTTTAAAATCTACATATATTACTTATTATCCAAAATGAGATTTCCTATATTTGAAAAGATAGGTAAGCCCACAATAAATCCTCTGGATTTGCCTGTTGGACTTCATTATTATCCCAAATGTGCTTTGTCCGCCCCCCAAAAAGGGGGGGGGACTTTGTTTTTCCTTGAAGACATCTTGCTTCTCATCCAAGAAACTTCTTTGGTTCTGATTTCCTTCTTACTTTTTGTACGACTTCAAATCTTGAATCTAGAAACTCTGCATTGCGAGATTATCACCATTAGTTGCAAAAGTGATAATTCCAAACATGGAATGATTAATTCCAAGGAGCAACGAACTGATTATTTTTATTTTCTTTCCATCTTTGTAATGTGGATCATACATGGGCTATGTTAATGAGTGCTGTGGTGACCTAGAGGTGGAGCTCTCACCTCACAATCAAGAGGCTGTGAGTTCTAATCCTAGGTAGAGGCAGATATTTCTCTCTCTGGGCACAATGAAAATATATCTGCTGGAAAAAAAACTCCGCACTGGCGACAGAAAAGGTATCCGGCCAGTAAACACCCAGCTCCATTCAGTTGCCAAGATTCCACTCCACAAAGGACTATGGGGTCATTAGATGATGATGTATAGGTCTATGTTAGTCTCTTTACCACGCAATTCTCTTTATCATTCCCTGCAAACATATTTTCTCTCTTTCTCTCCTTTTATTACAAATCTCTCTCTTTCCCCCCATCCAGCCAAAAGAAGAGGAGTGATACTGTTGTTTGATGAATGCACTGCGCTGAATTGGTCCCCACTCTTCCCATCACCACACCAGGGTTTTTCTTCACTTACAGCTCAGGGCCAGCAAGCCAGCATCGGTAACGGGCGTTTCACACAAGTTGAGCACTTGAAGCATTGTGAGGTGTTCAGAGAGGAGCCGCAAACCTGCATCCCCAAACTCCAGGGAAGAAAAAAAAAACAAAGAAGGAATGTTTATAAGCAGCAGTCAATGGCTGGAAAATAAACGAACTCTAAACCTGAGCTTGCTTGTTTTCTTGCAGACCTTTCATAACCCAAACTGGGTAACATCAGTAGCATTGATGATGTTACCTAATCAGATCATGAAACGTCTGCAAGAAAACAAGCAAGCTTAGAGAGCACTAAGGACCCTGTTCTAACCAAGGCTTCCTGAGACCATAATTAAGCAGACGCTTAGTTAAAACAACTGTTTTATTTCAACGCTGGGAATTATGTTCGTTCCTGTAATGAGTCCCAAACAGTCCCTCGAGATAAGCACTCACCTTTCTCTCCTTTGAATTGCTGCTAACAACTAAAGTGCCAAATGAACTATAAAAAAAACAACCGAAGTACAAAGTCCACGCAGAGCTTCCAGGTTTAGTCTGAACAGAGCAAACGACGTTGCTTCCTGCAAAGGTTTCTTTACCTTTGCCTGTCCTTTATATCTTATGGGAGGGGCAATCACCTCCAAGCCTTATTCCCAAGTCACCCCCTTTTGTCTTAGCTCTCGCCTTCTGGCAGCTCTGCGCACACATGCACTGGGAACAGGCTCCCCTTGTTCCTCTGCCTTGCTGCTGCCAGACTCTGGAGGCAGCACCTCACTCCCAGATGGTCCTGGCCCCATCCCTGCATCGGATGCAGGACCCTTGTCCGAGTTCTTTCCAGACTCCTGGACTGGTCCCCGTTCTTCCCCACTGTCCGATTCTACTACCGTCTGCACAGACTGCCGGCGAACCGCAACAGACCCCTCATCTCAACCCTGAGCTACAAATAGTCTCCTTTATTGGAACTCTAAACCTGTAGGATCATTATGGAGAAGCAGAAAGTCCATCTCAGCATGGACTTCCCTTGTTTTGAAAGCAAAATGCTGAAGTAGATTTTTTTATCCCAGGACTGGACCGGGTTTTGGACCGGGTTCCAGAAAGGTGCTTTGAAACAATGCAGTGGTTTTCTGCAACTTTTTAAAGCAGCTGTGTCTTTCCCACAGGATTACACGGAACTTCAGTGAGCAAAGGTGCGATCCTGCGAATTGCAGAGGATGCCATGTTTGTGTTTCCAAGCATCTTTCAGGGAATTACATCCAAGGAAGGCATTTAACACAACATAAGGTAGTCCTCGACATGACCACCATGGAGGCCCAAAATTTTTGTTGCTAAGTGAGACATTATTTTCATTTCCTTTGCATTTTATATTCCGATAAATTTATAAAAGAATTGTAAACAACAGCAGCAAAAAAGATATGGAAGGCAACCTCCAGTTCACGGTCTTACTGCAGGTGAAGAGAATATTTAATCTGCATGGGATTGAGCATGGCTGGGCTTCAAAAAATTTAGCAAAGGGTTTTCTGCCTGGATGCTGGGTGGCCGTGGCCGTGGTGGGCGTGGCCTAGTCGGCCTCCTGTGCCATGGGGGGCAGCACGCTTTTGCCCTTCTCGGGCTCCAGAGGCTTTCCTCAAGCCTCTGGGAGGATGAAAATGTCCTTCTCGGACACCAAAGGCTCTCTGGAAGCCAGACATGGGTTTTCAAGGTGGCTGCGCACATGGATGCTGCGGCTAACTGCTCCTTCTTCCAATGTATGGTGTGTATGATTCTGTGTGTGTTTTGGATCCTTTCCTTGATTGAATCCTGTGGGGCAAGGAGCATCTATAGTCAGCAAGCCTTGTTACAAGCAGTGCTTGTGTGGTGTCGGGGGTTTTCGGTTCAATGTGTGGAGGGTGAAGTATGCGTGTTTGTTTTTATTTTCATGGTCATGGTCATGATGTGCACTGAAGATGGTGTTTGATTTCGTTGTATGAGGTGCAATGACAATAAAGTAAAAGTAAAGTAAAAGTAAAGGTAAAGGTAAAGGTAAAGGTAAAGTAAAGTACAGTACAGTACATTACAATAAAGTAAAGTAAAGTAAAGTAAAGGTAAAGGTAAAGTTAGTTAAAGTTAAAGTTAAAGTTAAAGTTAAAGTTAAAGTTAAAGTTAAAGTTAAAGCTAAAGCTAAAGCTAAAGCTAAAGCTAAAGCTAAAGCTAAAGTTAAAGTTAAAGTTAAAGTTAAAGTTAAAGTAAAGTAAAGTAAAGTAAAGTAAAGTAAAGTAAAGTAAAGTAAAGGTAAAGGTAAAGGTAAAGGTAAAGCAAAGTTCCCAAACTTCTGAGAGGCTCTTTTTTTGCCCTCCCCCAGCCTCCGTGTGCATACCTTGCACTTACCTGCATCCAAAATGGGCCACGTGGGGATTCCTGGGAGGGGAGGGGCAGGGTGGGTGGGCCCAGCCAGAAGTGGGATTTGGGGGTCCTCCAAACTGCACAGAAACTTAGCTAGGGGCTCTCCCAAACCCCTGCGAACCCCCAGCAGCCCACCCCTGGGATTTGAGGTGCAAGAAAAGATGCGTGGAACAGGTGGACTTTGAAAGAGGAAGGAATGCACCTGGGAGGAATCTCCTTGAAAAGGGCTGGGGGCTTCTTGCACTGAATGAAAGCAGCGACACACTCCGGGTCGTCCCGGGTTGGAATTAGCACAAAAACCTCCCTGCCCATCATGGCGGCTGCTTGCACAGCCCGTACCTGAGTGGACCACAGGTTCAGCTGCTTGAGTGAAGGCAGTTTAATTAGATGCTCTGCACAGGCACTTGTGACGTTGGTAAAGGCCAGGCTGAGGTTCTCCAGATTTCCAAAAGAGCCCGAGCTTAAGAGACGAGCCAAGTCCGCATCCTAAAAAAGGAGAAAATTGCAGAGATCAGTCAAGGAAACTCTCCCCTTTCCCCCGCCCCACAGAGAAATAGGGCACGGCATTGACAGAGGAGTCTCCAGAGTGATGCGGTGGCCTAGAGGTGAACTTTTCGCCTCACAATCAGGAGGCTGTAGGTTCGATTCTAGGTAGGGGCAGATATTTCTCTCTCTAGGCATGATGAGAATATAGTTCCTGAGTATAGTTCCGCATTGGTGACAGGAAAGGCATCCGGCCCGTAAACACTCAGTTGCTCAGACTCCACTCCGCAAGGGATTAGGGAGTCGTTAAAAGAAAATGATGATGACTGGCAGAGGAGTCTCTAATTCTATAAATTATACTGTACATGCCTTCTATATAATGCCCGATACCAGAATTGTGCAAGGAATGGCATTCCCTGTGACACTCCGTGGAAGCCAAAGCTGGAGTTTGAGGAAGCAAGATAGGAAGATATTGTCTCTTTTGGACTTTGTCGTTAGGAAAGACTCTTGAGAATGGGCAATCAAGACAAGAAACCAATGGATCACCGAATAACTAACCCAGAGGTCTCACTTAAGGGATACTTGGCTAAAGGCTCAAATTATCCCACTTTGGTCCTTTATGTGAAGTCCTAGAAGGATCTGATGATGAGAAAGGTGGAAAGAAAGAGAAGAAGAGGATGACAACCAGCAAGGTTGACTTTGTACTGAAGAGGAATGGAAATATTAAGGTTTTCTACATGAGTGTCACTCCCCCCATATTTATGGATCCAATGGCATTCAGCAGCTTGGATCCACCATTTTCATATCCCACCAAACAGAAGGAAACACTCGATCCTGTAACTCCCAACTAAGTGGGCAAGGCCCTCAGTTCTGTTAACCCAGGCACCTAAGGCTGCTGACCAAGAGGTCATATTCTCCTAATGGTGCCAGTGACTTTGGCATCCAGAAACTTGGAGCCACCCTTCCCATAAACACCCTTGTGGAATGCTCTTCCATTGCATCAGGACAAACTTAATTGAAAAGTCCTTGGTGGCATCTGCAGTGCCACCGCATGACTCTGTCTAACAATCCTTGGGCAGGGCGATGGGGGGGGGGGGACATGCTACCCAGTGGTCTTACACAACAATACAATGGCTGGCTTCCCATCCCAGGTTGACCCGGGCCAACTGAAGACGTAGAGACCGCACAAGACGCCTCTAGCTAAACTTGGTTAGTTTTAACCTGAGTTTGCTATTTTTCTGCAACCCTGTGTGTTATGAAGCCCAGCCTATGTAGGATTAACCCAGATTAAATCGGTAAACAGATTAAATAAAGGTTAAGTGGAGATATGGGGGCATTTAAATCTAAGCCACCCTTCAAAGGAGAGGTAGATCAGTCACCAGTACAAAAGCTGGGCTTTCTTCACACACACATCACCTTAGTGTAAGAGTTCTTTGGTATGTTCTGAGCTTGCTTGTTTTCTTGTTTTCTTTTCTCATCTGAGCAGCAACGATGTTAGCTGGTTCCGGGTAATGAAACCTTTGCAAGGAAGCAATCAAGCTCAGAGAGCACCAAGGGCTCCTCATGTCAACTCAGAGCTACAAATAATTCTCCTTTATTAGTAGCATCTTAGTGTCTCTTGGCCCAATCCTGCAAACTAGGGGGGAAGCTTTCTTAAGACTGCCTTCCATATAGCACAGGCAAACAATCGAATCAGGGCCATCCTTTTTTTAAAAAATAAAATAAAATACCCCCAGTGCTTCATCAGAAGGAAAAGTGGGACTTTCGGATGTAGCAGAATCCCACTAGCCCCATTAAGAAGAGTCCAAAAGGATGGATGCTATCCGAGGCAGTTCCTCCTCTTGTCCGTCGTCAACAACCTTCGGGTGCTCTCTGAAAATTTGTGTCCCGCAGGCTCACCCTGAGATTAGAAGGGGAACTCACCGTGGATTTTGATGGCAGTGTTAGCCTGGTGGGGCCTCCTTTTCTTTGCTGCAAAAGAACAGATTCATTGCTTACAAATGTGGCAACCATGGATGTACAGTAGTAACAGGGGTGGTCTTCAGCAGGTTCTGACCAGTTCTGGAGAACCGGTAGTGGAAATTTTGAGTAGAACTGGTAAATACCACCTCTGACTGGCCCCACCCCCATCTATTCTCTGCCTCCCGAGTCCCAGCTGATTGGCTGGGTCTTCTTTGGTTGTCCTGCACAGGAGAACAGAGCTGGAAAGCAGGTGAGGGGGCTGGGGGAAGGAATAGGGATTTTGCAGTATCCTTCCTTTGCCATGCCCGCCAAGCCCGCCCACCAAGCCACACCACGCCCGCAGAACCAGTAGTAAAAAAAAAAAATCGAATCCCACCACTGAGTAGTAAAGCATAGGCTGGAGTCTGCAGAAGGTCCAGAGTTCAAGTCCACATCTTCTCTCTACAACATGCGTGTCCAACCTTGGCAACTTTTAAGACCTGAGGTCTTCAACTCCCAGGCTGGCTGGGGAACTCTGGGAGTTGAAGTCCCCAGGTCTTAAAAGTTGCCAAGGTTGGACTCCCCGCTGATGTATATAATGATCTCTATTGCTATTGCTCAGTGCTAAATAGTATAAGCAAAAAATAAAAGTACATCCCTCAATGGATTACAATCAAATGTCTTCTCCGTGATGCTGCCTGCCTTCCGGAATGATAAGTTTCCCCACCCAGCATCTACACTGCTCCCACTGTCAGGATTCTGATTTCTGATTTTTATGAAATTGCCCCAAATTTGGTTCTTCTAAGCTTTGGATTAGGATGGTGGTAGAGCCCCTTTGGGTTTGGGGGTTATCCTTTTGGTCTTTTCTCTTTTACGGAGACAGTTTTCCAGTTGGTAATATTCCCTTTTCTTTGATATTGGTTGTTTTCTTTTTCATTCCTTTCAAACTGTGAGTCACCTAGAGATAATGTGGAGCTGGATGGCCTCAAATTGAAGATATTAAATATAATAAAGGGTTGAAATGGAAAAGCGCATGGACATGCCTAGCCAAAGTATTAAAAGAGTATTTTTTTTTATTCCTTACGATTTATATTGACTGTTCCCTAGTATGATTTGATTGCTTATTGTACTCTATGACTATTATTAAGTGTCGTACCTGATGATTCTCGACTCTTGACGAATGTATCTTTTCTTTTATGTGTACTGAGAGTATTTGCATCAAGACAAATTCCTTGTGTGTCCAATCACACTTGGCCAATAAAGAATTCTATTCTATTCTGTTCTGTTCTGTTCTGTTCTGTTCTATTCTATTCTATTCTATTCTATTAAAAATTATGGTTGTTTAAGAATCCATTTTGAGTACACTTCAATGGCTTAAGCAATTAAACTAATCTGTAAACCACCCAGAGTCTACTCCAGACACGTCAGGTGACACGTAAGTCTAGTAATAACTAACTAACTAACTAACTACCTAACTAACTAAGGCTTAGAGTCCACTCTGAATTTCTAGTCTCTGTTCTTTTATTGTGTGGAATTTCTGACCAACCAGCAGGTGGCAACATCTAGCTAATTTGGGTGGATCATGAAAAAGCTAAGCAGGACCACACCTGGCCAAATCTTGGATTGGAGAACCTCAGGAAACAAGTCTGTGGGCCAGAACTGTATGTCAAACCAAGTCTTGGAGGAATGGCCCTTCTTTCATTCATGAAGGCTACCCCATGTCAGCAAGGAGCCAAGTCTTCACTCAAAGGAGTCTTGAAATGGGCTTCCATGTGTGTTATACCCTATGTTTGGATCAGAGGTGGTATTCAGCAGGTTCTGACCAGTTCTGGAGAACCAGTAGTGGAAATTTTGAGTAGTTTGGAGAACCGGCCAATACCACCTCGGACTGGCCCCACCAACCCCATCTATTCTCTGCTTCCCATTGAGTCCCAGCTGATTGGCTGGGTCTCCTTTGGTTGCCCTGCACAGGAGAACGGAGCTGAAAAGCAGGTGAGTGGATTGGGGAGGGAATGGGGATTTTGCAGAATCCTTCCCCTGTCAAGCCCACCAAGCTACGCCCACCAAGCCATGCCCACAGAACCGGTAGCAAAAACATTTGAATCCCACCACTGGTTTGGATCCCATGAAGAAAACCGGAGAACACCTTCCCTTCCAAAGTAGAAAGGTGGAATGCAAATCCGAGAAGCTCACCAGCTCTTTGAGTTCCCTCTGCCGGTCACAAAGCTGCTCGTACATTTTCTTCCCCACATCAGTGCTCTCAAGGGTTGAGATGATCTGAAGCTGTGTGTCCTTGTTCTCAATGATGTTGTACTCCAGCATCAAGCAAAGGATCTGAGCAACAAGGAGACAGAAAGGATGGCCCATCGTTGGAGGGAGGCTCACAGCACGGCCCAGACTCATTTCTTGTTGTCTCTTCAAAAGGGCAAACCCTGTAATTCTTCATGATTCCACAAGTTAGGAACCAGGAGGAGCCCATGGTGCTCTCTGAACTTGGTGGTTTTCTTGCAGACATTTCATTCACCAAACTAGGTAACATCATCAGTACTAGAAAGGAGTGAGGTTGGGGAGGAGGAGGAAGGAAAAGTGGGAGGAAGAGGAGGGAAAACAGTAGTAGGAGGGGCAGGAGGAGGAGGACAACTCTGGGGTCCTTGGTGTTCTCTGAACTTGGTGGTTTTCTTGCAGACGTTTCATTACCCAAACCAGGTAACATCATCAGTGCTAGTAACTAGTAACTAGAACTGATGATGTTACCTAGTTGGGTAATGAAACATCTGCAAGAAAACAACCAAACTCAGAGAGCACCAAGGACCCTTCATTTCAACCCAGGACTTATAAATATTCTCCTTTATTGCTATCAGGAATTATAAATAGACTTTGTTCTTTAAAATAATAATAGTAACAAGAATTCAAGCGGACAATGACTTGCCATGTAACACTGTGGATTTAACCATTGTTGATAAAAAATACAAAACAGTCTGGATAGTGGATGTGGCAGTACCTGGAAGCACCAGAATAGAAGAGAGGAACCCTTGAAATTATAGATTCAAAAATGGGAGCAAAGAGAGGGCTGAGAATTCTCTTGTTAAGACGCCCAGGGAAAGAGTAACTTTTGTGACTGTCCTATTAAGAAGAAATGCAAGTCCAATTTGCATTGGCGTTTTTATATGCCTTTATATCCCCCGATTTCTTGGGTTTCATTGTGCATCTGTTCTTTTATTTTTATTTATTTTTTATTTATTTTATTTATTTTGATTTGCCAATTGTTTACAAGATAATAAGTATAAATGTATACATAGTTGTGAATACATGAAATGGTTACATATAAGAAAAATAAAAGAATAAGAGAAACAATAGGACAGGGACGGTAGGCACGTTGGTGCGCTTATGCACGCCCCCTACAGACCTCTTAGGAAAGGGGTGAGGTTCTTTTAAAGTTTCTTTTCTTGCTACACTGAAATTCCCATTCTTTATTTCCTCATTGGTTGCTAAATTTATGTTCCACTTTTGCTCTAGTTTTTCTCCCTTGCAATTTTTCTCAAAATGACGCTTGGCTGAGTGAGTGGTCCCAAATCCATTGACTTCCAAGGGCTTGAACCCAAGGTAGCCTTTAACCCACCCTATTGCGCTTTCTCTCCCATTCACTGGAAGAGAATCACACAAAACACAATCCAATCTACTACTTCTGAGTAGAGATAGATACATTTGCACCATTCACTGTGGATCTGTTGTGTTTTTAAAGCTTGTGATCACTGCTTCTCTCCCTGAGTGGTCATTGCACAGAGCTGGTTAGGATATTTCTTTTTCAAAGGAAGGACAGACCAAATGCAGGCATGAAATATCTGCTTCCTTGCTTCCGTCTGGCATGGCAAATTGACCAAGGGATAAGGGCAGTCTTACCTCCACCATGGTTTGATTGCCTCTCAGTGCCAGCAACATGCAAGGCCCCAGTTTGTTCTCAGCCAATGAAAGCAGAAACTTTTTTGTCTTGTAGCAGGAGCCCATTAAAATGTGAACCTGCAGGAGAAAGAAAGGATCAAGTGAGAAAAACACAAACACACACAAAACATATTTTGGCCCTCTTTCCAACATAGCCAAGGAGGCGAATGGCCAAATCTCGCAAGAATGTTTTAAATACAGTCCAGACTTCTCTAAATTAATGTCTTCTGGATATGTGGAATTATCTATTGCTCTCCACTCAACATGAGATGATAAGAGTTGGAGTTACATCTATGGAAAATGTTTTAGGGAAGGGATGCTCCAAGTTGAAAATTCTAATTTTCTGATTGCACTCAGCAATAGCACTTAGACTTATATACCACTTTACAGTGATTTACTGCCCTCTCTAAGTGGTTTACAGAGTCAGCCTATTGCCCCCAACAACCTCGGTCCTCATTTTACTGACCTTGGAAGGACGGAAGGTTAAGTGAACCTTGAGCCACTAAGGATCAAACTTCTGGCAGTGAGCAGTGAATTAGCCTGCAATACTACATTCTAACCACCAAGGCTCTTGTTCTATCTCTATGAAAATAGGTAACTTGGTGTACACAAGGCAATTCTTAAAACAAAAGTCAACTTGCTTCTCTTTTCAATTTTTTGTGACTTCCAATCTTAGGAGATTTTTTCTTCGCTCCTTCATCTACTTCTGGTGCCCAACTTTCTGCTCTTGTTCTAAAAGGACCAAAACTTTTTTTTTCTCCAGATCAGAGGGGGTGAAATCTGTGTCTGTACATAATGTGGAGCGTGTATTTTCTCCTTTGTGAAGATGTAGACTTTAGACAGGAGATGAATGAATGGGTATCCTATATCTAGTACGAAAGCTGTAAGTTTGGTATATTGTGAATGCAATCAGACTGTAAGGGTAAGAGGGAATGGCCTTGGGAAGCAGGAGGAAGAGCCACAGTCAGGGGAACGGTAGGACAAAAGGACAACTTAGCCCACAAAAGGAATGGGAGAAGGCAAATATCTCAGAAGGGACTTTACCTAGTTTCTTGGGCTGTAAAAGGGGAGTGGGGGACAGATGTCCTTTGAGACTTGCAAGATTCTGTCAATGTAAACCTTACAATCAAATAGAATTAGCTGATCTGGTTGTGTTTCCTATCTGGATCACCTTGCAAAGCTGACAACATGACAGCAAAAGAGACTGTGAAGAACTGGCACATACCATACTGGCAAAGAGTTCCCCATCATCATCACATGCCACGCCACCGGGGCTGTAGAGCTGGAACCAGCCATCCTTGCCGGCCCGCACACTCAGCAAACAGGAATGGACCTGGTAGAGAGAAAGACACGTGAGAAGGCGTCCTTCGAAATAATTCTGCAGAGAAAGGAGGAGGAAAGGTGGAGACCTGTGGAGCTTTAGAATGCTGCTCAATTCCTGTTCCCAGCATCCCTCCTGGTTGCTCCTGATGATGAGGCTACTAGGAGGTGCAGTATAAGATGCCCCAGCCTTGCAGTAAGAGACATTCCTTCTCATTGGGTGGGTACCCAGCTCAGCAACAAAAGCTGTTCTTCCTTGCTCCTGATTAGGCACCAGGTGTTCCACTGGAACACCAATCTGCAGCGGGGCAAGGAGTCTGCAAAATGTGATCTAAAACCCTGGAGCCAATGGGAAAGAAGGAGAAGACGACTTTGCCTCCTTGCAAGTGAAAGTTTTATATATTTATTGCAGTTACCCAACCATTTTAGGTCTGGGGTTTCTGAAGAATTCAGGTTCTCCATCCAGATGTTTTAAAATGTTGGCACTCTGTCCTGGATGCTCAACACAAATATTCCCTCTTATGTTGATTATCCATCCATCTACTCATCAGGGGTGGGATGCAAATATTTTTACTACCAGCTCTGTGGGCGTGGCTAGGCGGGCGTGGTTGGGTGGGCGTGGCCATCTGAATGGGTGGGCGTGGTTTTTCTTCTTCTTCCAGCACCCCCACCCCGCCCTGCACTCCATTTTTTTGCCTCCTGGGCGAAGCAGTAAGACAGCAAGGGGGATGCCAGCACAGCTGATTGTTGGAACAGCTGATCATCGGGAGGAAAGAAAAAAAAAAAAGAAATACCGGTTCAGCTGAACTGGTAGCTGTTTTTTTTACTACAGGTTTCAGCCAAACGGTAACATTTTTTACTACGGGTTCACACGAACTGGGCCGAACCGGTAGAATATCACCACTGCTACCCATCCATCCATGCATCCACCCACCCACCCACCTATCCATCCATCTATCCCTCCATCCACGTACCTACCAACCTATGCATCCATGCATCCACCCACCCACCCACCCACCTATCCATCTATCCACCTATCTACCTATCCATCCACCTATCTACCTATCCATCTACCTACCAACCTACCTATCTATCCATCTACCTACCAACCTATGAATCCATACATCCACCCACCCACCTATCCACCTACCTACCTACCTATCCATCTGTCTACCTACCTACCTATGTATCCACCTATCCATCCCTCCATCCTCCTACCTACCTACCTATGCATCCACCCACCCACCTATCCATCCACACCTGTAACCAATGTGGACATAGCTACCCACCCTCCATTTGTGAATGCCACCATTACAATAACGGGCATTTTTATGACATAAGCGAGAGTTCAAATGTTCAGTCCCGGTTATTCAAGAGACGCAAAGCATTTGTCTGGAGCCTTCATTTTACACTGAATGTTCCAGATGCAGCAATTCCAGCCAAAGTTCTGAGATATCCAAACCGTATTTCATGTTGACACAAAGAGGCATGAAATCATTTATAAGAAGGCAGCAACAGGCTCCAAAAAGTCTTTTCAGGAACCATTATCAAAGCCGAGAGGCTGACTGCATCATGGAACTCCAAGCAATTTATAGCCTGAATGTTTTGACAAACAGCCGGTCTCCCTTTCTTTTGGGGCCATGCCGGATGGAAAACTTACTTCTTGTCTTGGGTCTTCTGCAAATCTTTGAATGACGTACTTCAGCTCCCTGGAAACAGACAAAAAAAAAAAAAAAGACGGAGGGAGGGAGAGAGAGAGAGAGAGAGAGAAGCAGAAGTATGCAGTTGGTCATCTCCAAAGAAATAGAGTACAGCTGTTGCATTTCGTTTTGATTATGTGCTAAGTGAAAAGTTACAAGGAACCGTAGAGGGGACGATTACGTTCTAATGAACTGGGGCTTTTCACAGCGAGAAAAGGTCTTCTAAACAGCCTAGAAATCATCCATGATCGTAAGGATTTTAATCCTCGGGGATTGGAAAACGCTGGCGTTCGAACGCCTGGAGATCCCTTCCCCGTTTTGCAGTTTCTTTTTGCCAGACAAACCCACAGCTGGAGACCTCTCAAGACCATAAACCTTTGGGTGTAAGCCAAGGGGGAATTCTATGCGTGGGAAGGAGGATGTTTGGAATCCTTGATTCGTTTGTCCAGGATGGGATGAGGATTTTCTGCCTTGGGAAGGGAGCTGGACAACAAGACCTAATTTGGCAGTGGTTGGCCCTCCAAGCTTGTTTCAATTTAGCTTCGATACCGGACTAGGTAGCACCATCAGCAGGATTTTCTTGTCCTATTCTCCTTAGTTTATAAATGTCTTGTGAAGACCTATGATTCTACAAATTCTTGCATGTAGAAAACAAGTATTAAAGTTAAATGGCTAGTCTAGAACCTGTCTTCCTGACTGAGAGCCAAAATAGTCCAGCTAAGATTCGATCCTGCTGAACTGGGAGCCAAAATAGTCCAAGCTAAGAAAATGCTGTAACAGTCCAGACTGGATTCTACTGCATCATAAACTACATCAACTTCCCTTGAGGGAAGTGTGATCTTTTTTGAGTTGGAGAGGAAGATCCAGAGCTGCATTCTGAGTTGCCCAGAGGTGTGGTGGGTGGCTGAGGTCTCTTTTTAGCCTTTACAACGAAGAGTCTATCGCAAAGTTTTGAAACATCTATGTTGTGAAAGGCTGGATCAACCCCCTTTACATCACTACAGGAGATAATTTCAAGCAAATAAGCACTTACTTTGTGAACTTCTCGTGTGCCAGAGCTCTGAAATAAGAACACAGAATTATTATTATGGAGGTGTTTTCCCTTCCCCAAAACATCAACAATAATAATAATACAAAACCCATAGGCCCAATGCATGTCAAGAAATGACTTAGAAGCTACACTGTCTCTTGTCCTCTCAGCTCAGACTATTAATCCCATCATCCTAGCCTTTTTTGGCCACTGGCTTTAAGGAGAGTCATTATGTTTTGGGGAACACTGCTAGGGCATGGCATTATTTCAAACTGAACAAAACAAATGGAAGGAGAGGGAGAAACAATCTTTTAATAAAACAAAATAAAGCTAAAAACAAAGGTAAATCTGAACAAAAACAACCTTTGGATCAACAATCCCTTGATAGAAAGGGTTTCCAATTTGTTGATTACGTTTTAGGATACTTGGGATTCAATTCAGAAGGAGCACTTTAAAGCAGAAGAGTGCAAACATGAAACTTTTTTGAGATTCATTAAAGTAGCTGCATCTGCCCAGCTACCCAGGTGCTTTAATGAGCCACATACAGAAATTGCATTTATGACTTACATGTTTCAGAGATCACTTCCTAATAAGATCTGAAGCCTTGCACTATCCTAATATTATTTATCCTGAGATACACCAGCTTTTTTCATGATGAAGGCAGACCTGATGGGAGTTTTCATGCTTAGGAATTTGTTCTTTTAGAGAACTATGGTTTGAGCACCAAAAAGATCAGTTCAGGTATGTGTTTATGAAGATGTGAGAAACTGAACCAGAAGTAAGCCAATTCAGTGAATTTTGGTTATCGTCATCTTTTTTGAGTCTGTCCCCTAATTGGTGAGGAGATGGGAAGTAAAATGAGGAATTCAGTAAGAAAAACATTATTAGAATGTTGATGAAGATTCTTCGTCATCCAGGCAGAATTGTCATGGCAACTGGACTTATTTTCTTATTTGTGTGAGACATTTTGCTGCCTATCCAAGTAGCTTCTTCAGTCTGAACAAGAGTGTTATTAAACTGTCCAACTCCTAAAAATCTTAGGGCCATTCCCGCCCCAACCTCAAGGTTTCTTCTCCAGATTCCCTTAGCCAACTTGTTCAGACTGGAAGAAGCTGCTTGGATAGGCAGAGAAATGTCTCAAATCAACAAGGAAATAAGTCCAGTTGCCGTGACTCAACATTCAGATTAATAGGATGAGCTTCAATTACTGGCTGTAGCCTCTTGACCACCATCATCCCAGAGAGCCTGTGACCCAAAGTCAACTCAACCTGATCTAAATCGAAGTTAATAATAACATCAAGAGCAAGGCTGGGCAACTGGCGTTCTTTGGATGAGCATCTCGGAGTCTTGCAAAATGAAACATCTACAATTGGGCAGCAAGGAAGTATCCTACAATAATTTGAGCGAACGACAAGAGACATCATCATCATCATCTTCTTCTTTTAACGAGCCCATAATCCCTTGCGGGGGAGAGTCTGGGCCATTGAAGGGAGCTGGCCAGATGCCTTTCCTGTCCCCAATGCAGAGTTATATTCAGTAGATATATTCTCAATATGCTCAGAGAGAGAAATATCTGCCTCTACCTAGGATTGAATCCTGATTGTGAGGCGAGAGCTTCACCTCTAGACCACTCAAGCAAACTACAAGAAATGTCGTGCTAATTTTCATGATGAAATGAGTAAGTGCATTACACACCCAAGTGTGCCGAATGCATTTATGAGTTATTTTTGAAAAAGACAGGAAATGGCCTCAAAATTTCCTCCAACAAGTCCATAGCTTCCCCATACCTCAATCCATGAAAAACTACTGTATGGAACCCTGGAGGCTTAAAGGGAGTTGATCCATCCTTAAGATATATTGAGGGGCGGGGAGGGAGGGAGGGAGGGAGAGAAAGAGGGAGAGGAAGGAAGGAAGGAAGGAAGGAAGGAAGGAAGGAAGGAAGGAAGGAAGGAAGGAAGGAAGGAAGGAAGGAAGGAAAAACCACTTGTGTGTCATCAAAGATGCAAATGGAAATTTCTAGGTCCAGGAGACCAAAACCATGCATTCGTAAACAGGATTTCCAGCTTGATTCATGTCCCAGGTGTGTTTGTTAATTGCACTGCAATTAAGGCCCATTGCCTCTGATTAACATTAGCAAAGCAATTAATGGTCACTTGGCCAGAGAGCTCCTTGCATCACATCCTCGCTCTGCCCTGGGGTCCTTGGTGAAAAAACAAAACAAAAAACCAACTCACAGAAATGACACCAAGGGCCTCTCTCTCCTTCTCTTTCAGAAGAACAGGCACATTGGTGGAAAAAAAAATGGGGGCTTCCAAGGCACCAGGCTCCCCGGGGAGGCTTAAGCTTGCAAATTGGATGATTATAGGCTGTAATGTTCGCCCCGCAGAGATATCTTCATTTCATAAACACTGGTGTCATTAATAGGCTGCAGAGGGACCATCAGGAACTCTTTCGCTGGATTCAAACACTGTGTTTGCGGAATGACGCGTGGTTTGATGCTTCTTCCTTCGGTGGGGCTTGTCTTGCCCCCTAATACGTCTGCTGAGGCAACTGCTTACCTCTTGTGTTTGATTCTTGACAAATGACCCTGTATACTTTTAATTTCAATTTTTGGGAAATCCCTTCCATCTACATCTGACGCTGGAACTCCATTTTTGCAGATTTCGGTGGGTCTGACAACCCTCTCTGAGACCGTGGTGGCACAGTGGTTAGAGTGCAGTACTGCAGGGCACTTCTGCTGACTGACTGCAATTTGGCAATTCAAATCTCACCAGGCTCAAGGTTAACTCGGCCTTCCATCCTTCTGAAGTGGGTAAAACGAGGACCCAGATTGTTGTGGGCAAGAGTAAACCGCTTAGAGAGGGCTGTAAAGCACTGTGAAATGGTATATAAGTCTAAGTGCTATTGCCCTTCCTTCCTTCCTTCCTTCCCTCCTTCCTTTCCATCCATCAATCCATCCACCCAGTACTGTAGGCTGACTCTGCCCACTGCCAACAGTTCAATCCTGACTGACTCAAGGTTGATTCATCCTTCCATCCTTCCAAGGAGGGTAAAACGAGGACCCAGATTGTTGGGGGCAAGAGGCTGACTTTGTAAACTGCTTGGAGAGGGCTGTAAAGTACTGTGAAGTTTAATGCTATTGCTATTCTCAGTTAATGACCCCTCTGCTGTGAAAGCCTAGGAGTCCAGCTTTCAAATCTTGCAGAAGCTCAAGGGATGATCATGTAAGTCCTTGTGCAATTATCCCAAGACTCTAGTCATTGTTTTTACATTTTCAAAATTATTTTAATTTTCAGCTTTGCAGTATCTTTTCTTTTTAAAGAGAAAAAGGTAAATTGCAACAAAAGAATTCCTTAGTGGCTGCAGTTTAAATGGTGGAACTGGTTTAGGCAATGCCTTTGCTTTATGATTAGACCTCTCACTGTTTTGGTTACACTGAATAGAATTTTACTGTATTTTTAACAATTAACAGTTGTTTTGACTGCTAACTAATATTAGTAGTGAGGATGCCCCAGAACCACAAAATATATGTATTTAAAATAAAGAAAACAAATGTGATCTTGTTCTGATTAACTACCATTTCCCCTGACTTAGGGACAAATATCAGCTATAAGCTACATCTATTAGAGTCTTCTATTAAATCTTAGTTCGTCAGTAATTGGTTAGTTCTGACTAATGCAAACTATCTACCAGGGAAATGAGCAAATAAAACACCCATAAAACGAAAACTTACTCTTTGGGGAATGGGATGGGCTGGAGCAAACTGGCCAGAGCCGGTCTCCAATCTTCGTAATCTGATCTGTAATTAGAAAAACACAATTAGCTTAAACTCTGTGCAGAATTTACTGCTGTGAATAAGCATAGTTTGATGTTGTGTTTGTGCATGAGTTTAACCTTGGTCTTTCGCAGCCTTCTTTAACTTGATGCCCCTGGAGTTACCCAGATGAGACTTCCAATAATTCAACACTCGTGGTCCTTGACCACCCTAGATGGAAATTCTGAAAAATCATAGTTTCAGCACCTTAGAGAGTACCTAGAAAAGACTATCCAAGTCCAACTTTGTTTATCTGACTTCCAATGTTTTAATTGGCCTGATGGTGAAATCCTAAGAATGACCTATGTCCACCCTGTGTTTTATCTATGTTAATTCCATTTCTTCTTCTTGTTGAACCTGCAAGCCGCAATTCTGTTGTTGTTTGCAAGAAAGCAGTGCTGACTTAACACAAACTTGTTCCTGTATATAATCCTCCAATGGAACAAGAGTTTCTGTCAACAGCACAGAAACACAGGTTCTACCCTACCTGTGACACGTGCTAAGGAGTCAACATGAAAATGAAAACGACCCCTTTCATCATTCATGCTAATTTTGGAATTCCACCAGCAGGACTAGATACCTCTTCCAACACCCAAGAATAGTGTTAGATTTACTACGATGCCATCTGCTTATTTCATGGGTTTCCTGCTGGTATTGAGAAGACGACAGGTGGAAATGCACACACGTGCATAGACACACATGTATAGGCACACAATGACTTTCTTGGATTAAGTCATTTGGACTCTTTGGAAAGTCACAGTGAGGAGCATCTTTTCAACTATTTTTGGAGTTCCACAAGCAGGATTAGATGCTGCATTGAACATCCACCCTTCAAGAACAGCGTTAGATTTACTACGATGCTATCTGCTTGTTTCATGGGATTCTTGCTGTTGTTGAGAAGAATCCCAAGAAACCCATGTGGACTATCTGGAAAGCCATTGGGAAGAGCATCTTTTCCATATTTTTGGAGTTCTACCAGCAGAATAAGATGCTGCGTTGAACATCCAACCTTGAAGAACAGTTAGATTTACTACTATGCTATCTGCTTGTCTCATGAGATTGTTGCTGTTGTTGAGAAGAACCCCACTGGGTGTGCATACACACACACGTGCTCACGCATATCTGGAAAGCCATGGGGAAGAGCAACTCACAGCATCTTGAGTATTTCCACAAAGCAGCCGAGGATACGGTCCGCCTGAGCACTGAGTTCGATGCTAATGCTACTGCAAGTGGGGCTGACCATCAAACAGTCAATCAGGTTGGGCTCGCTGTCGTTGCCAATGCTGGCGGTCATCTTCTGGTTAGCCATGTTGTTGCGTTCCACCTCAACGTGGATCTCATTGGACGTGACAATGACTGACTTGAGGCGGGATTCAGCCAGCGTAGCCTCTCGGGACATCAGGTCAGGGCTGGTGTGGAGAAGACGAAGAGGCAGGTTGGGCTTGCGGTCGCAAGGCTGCTGGCAGCCATTCCGAATTTCCTTCAGGCTTGGAGAATTGTCCCGGCTGTCGCAGGAAGGGAGAGAAAAAAAAGAAAAACCAAACAGGAAAGAATAAGTAAGTGGAAGTTGCCAGACATAAATAACAGAAATAATGGGGAAAAGGCCAGATGACAACTTCGCAAAGTCTTGCAACAAGTCCACGTTTTTGTTTTTTTATTGCGGTGTGTGCCTTTTTCTGTGTGTGTGTTTTTTTTTTAAATCTTGGCCAGCTGCAATTACATTGTCTTATTTATTACCAGAAGAAAACAAATGTTTCCCGAAAGGAATTGCAACGGGGGCCCCCGTTTTGTGGCCGTCTGTAAACTTGGCCATCCTGGGGAGAAAGGCAATCTCCTCCTCCTGATGATGCAATGTTTCTTTCAATAAACAGCCCACCAGGATAGTCAACTCAATTTCCTAGAAAATGGGTTGATGGAAAAGCAAAGCAGATGCCTCTTTGCCAGAAGCCTTCTTGGGCTTCACGGAGAGTTAATAAACAGCATCCTGGTGAGCTGGTTTGTCTTCTACCAACCAATCATGCTTGCAAAATACCAAATCTGCCCCGTTCCTCATGATTTCACCCCAACATTGAGAAATACCTCTTTTTCTTTTGCAGCACCACCACCCCCGCGTGCCCCGTTTTTGTCCTATTGGGCCTCAGGGAAGCTTCCTGGGTGCTGAAAAAAGAAGCATTTTGAAGCCTTCCGAGGGAAGTACAACAGTGAGGGAGGGGATCAGCTGTGCCACGCGATTTAGATTAGCTAGAAAGCAAGAAATCTGATGATTTCCTGCTTTCTAGCTAATCTAAATCACGTGGCACAGCTGATCGTTGGAAATACCAGTTTGGCTGAACCAGTAGCATTTTTTTTTTTACGACCGGTTCATTTGAACCGGGCCAAACTGGCTGCATTTCACCTCTGCTGCAGAGCTTGCTGGGAAAAGGCCTGGAGATTAAAACATATGGAGAACGGCTGCAGGATTTGGGTTTGGCTAGTCTAAAGAAAAGAAGAATTAGGGGTGACATGATAGCAGTATTCCAGCTGCCCTGAAGAAAAGGGGGTCAGCCTATTTTTTTAACCCACCAGAAGGCAGGACAAAAAACAATGGAAATTAATCAAGGAGAGGTGCAACCTGGAATTAAGGAGAAACTTCCTAACAGGGAGGACAATTAACCAGTGGAACAGCTTGCCACCAGAAACCGTGGGTGCTCCATCACTGGAGGCTTTTAAGAAGGGACTGGACAGTCTCTTCTCTGAAATGGTTTAAGGCCGTGATGGTGAACCTTATGGCACGCGTGCCACAGGTCGCATGCAGAGCCCTCTCTGTGGGCATACGAGCCATCACCCCAGCTCTGCCACACATGCATGCGCATCTATTGGCCAGCTGGTCTTCGGATCTCTGCCACACATGCTGGGGGCACGCGGAGTGCATGCAGGGGGTGGGGCACATGCACGGGTGGGGTACGCATTCATGCACATGTTTGTACAGGGTGTATGTACAGGGATGTGCACATATTGGATTTTGGGGATGCACATGCGTGCATGGACTTTGGCACTTGGTGTTGAAAAGGTTAGCCATCACTGGTTTAAGTTCTCCTAATTCAGCAGGGGGCTGGACTAGATGACTTCCAAGGTCCCTTCCAGCTCATTCATTCATTCTATTCGATTCTAAAAACTTAACACATTTTGATGCAAGTGCATTTTCCTTCTCTGATGGTTCTCCCCAAAAGGGCTCACCGGGGGGGGGGGGGGGGGGGGGATGCAGGTGACTGACCTGTTGATGAATTCTTCATAGCAAGAATAAATGGCTGCTAGACAGACGGCAACGAGATTCGGAAGGACCCGGGGATGTGGACACTGGCCGGTTGGGCCGTGCATACTGGAATGACAGGACAGGGATGTAAGATGGTGTGTCCACAAAGAGCATTGTTAAGGCAGGAGCAAGCATAAAGTCTAATGGAAGAGAACATTCGTAGCTCAGGGTTGAACTGTGAGGTCTTTGCTGCCCTCTGAGATTGTTTTCTTGCAGATGTTTCATGACCCAACTAGGTAACATCATCAGTGCCAAACGGGAGTCGGGTTTGCAGGAAGGAAGGAAGGAAGGAAGGAAGGAAGGAAGGAAGGAAGGAAGGAAGGAAGGAAGGAAGGAAGGAAGGAGGAGGAAGAGGAGGAGGAGGAGGAGGAGGAGGAGGAGGAGGAGGAGGAGGAGGAGGAGGAGGAGGAGGAGGAGGAGAACAATTATGGGGTCCTTGGTCTTCTCTGGGCTTGATGGTTTTCTTGGAGACGTTTTATGACCCAACTGGGTGACATCATCAATATAAGAAGGGAGTGGGGTTTATTTTGTAGGATAATGATGTATCTGCAAGAAAACCATCAAACCACCAAGGACTTCACAAATCCTAAATCCAGTTTCCCCCAACTTAATTCCATTGGGGTTGCGGAATGATCAGCTCCTTTGCTTTAGCGGGGAAACTCCGATGAATGGAAATAGTATTTATTTTTATTTTATACTTATTAGATTTTCCACCCAGGTAACAACTGTATTAGCATAATAATAAAGAAGTGAGTGTTATGGTCTGTGATGCATCCTACTAGCTGTTAGTATATTATTGCATTTATTTGCTTCATTCTGTTTTTGTTCTTTTAACTCTTTGCTGGTCGTTGACCAAATAAATATTGATTGATACACTGATGAATGGAAACGAAACACAGCAAAGGTGTGGAGCCTCCTAGGATGAGAAGGTTTGTTAAGTGATAGGCCAATGTTGAGATAAAACACCCTTCTTTACCCCAAGGGTGCTTTTTGCAAAAGGCAACTGGATTTTGCTTTTCCTGGAAGAAGTTTCACTTCTCATCCAAGAAGCTTCTTCAGTTCTGACTGAATGGTGGAGAATGGAAGGATCTATATTCCTTGCAGTCATCTGGTCATTAGTACTCTCTCTGAGAATCACTGAGGCTACTTGGAGGTTTATCGGTGCCCTTGGGTCACCTGAATAGTGCCAATGGATGTGGGGCCTTCTTGGAGCTGCTGTGTTGTAAACAGGAGATAGGTAGTGTTGTCTCCCTTCCCCCTCTGCAGAGAGAGGGCTACTCAATCTTAATGCAGAAGGCCTCTTTCAAACCTTAAAAGAGACCCCTCTTTTAAATCCTTCCCTCCTCCACCATTCAATCAGAACTGAAGAAGCTTCTTGGATGAGAAGCGATACCTCTTCAAGGAAAAACAAAGTCCCAGTTGCCTTTTGAAAATACCTGTTTGGGACAACCATGACCTGGATGACTGAGAAATCTCCATAGACAAGCAACCCTTCCTTCCTTGTTTTTGCAGGTAAGTTAAACCCATGGCAAAATGTTGCCGACCAAAGCTACTGGCAGGGAAAGCCATTGAAGCGCGGATGAGACAAACGCCCTGCAAAGGGACAGAGATTTTGACCACACACACGCATATTTACCTGTGGATAAATTTCTTTACCACTTCCATGCCTGCATTCAGTTCATTCAAGGCCAGAATATACTCCTGAGTAAAGAGCCGCAACCGAGGACATTTACCAAAATCCTTTCCAAAACAGGAAAAAAAAAAGGAGATATTTAAGACTCGGAAGTGCCAAGGTCTGGACTTTCAATAAGGATGTCTTGAGGAAGGGAAAAGTTTCAATTGGTATTTATACAGATATTCTTTGACTTAATTCATTTAATGGTCACTCAAAGTTACAACGGCATTAAAAAAAGGTGACTTAGGGCCAGTCCTCGCCCTTCTGACTGTCACAGCATCTCCATGGTCAGGTGATCAGTATTTGGGTGCTTGGCTTTGAACTTATCATCTTCTGTTAAACAGTATGTCATCTGGGTGCAAATGTCTCTGTGCTATTACAATCAAAATTTACAGTATTACAGTTACATTGATAAAAATCCTCAATAACAACAACAACAACAATAATAATAATAATAATAATAATAATAATAATAATAATAATAATAA